GGGAGGAGGGGTCGTGGAGGGGGAGGCTGGCTAGGTGGGAGCCCACTTGGGCTTCCTGGGGGATGAAGGTGTCTCTGCCAATCAGAAAAGCCCTGTGGACATGTGTAATAAGGAGTCCGCTGATAGTGATGGTAGGAAGGCTGAGGTGGTGGCTGGTAGGAATATCTCATTCCTTGGTGGGGGCGATAACGGGGAAAGACTCCAGAATGAGGGCTGTTAGAATGAAAGCCCCTCGGGGAAAAATGCTGAACATGTGATATTGAGGGTTTACTTTCTATCACAGGGCCAAGACCTTGTAGGCCTGAACTGATGTGATAATGTGTAGCTGAATTTGGGTATTCCAGGCCAGGCATGTACAAGGGAGAAAACTGACTGACAGTGCTTTCCATCAAATTGGGGTCTGCTTTGGGAGGTGTAGCTGGGTTCTGTCCTGAACACGAAATGGTTTCCTGCAATGTTTTACCTCTGGGGCAGAGTGGCTTTTCTGTACCACTACCACCAAGGCCCTTCCCTTCTGATCCACTAGTGGGTACTTCAACCACCACTCCATTTTCAGGCAGAGCTCCTCTATTTGCCAGAGTGGAGAGGTCCCTCATACAGCCCTGGGCTGCTGGGCTGATGTAGCCACTCTCCGAGGGCCAGGTATTTTTGCCCTTTGTTGCCTGACAGTTGTTTTCAGATGCTGAGGAGTCATTTTTGAGCTCTGGGCCCTCTGCTTCCCTTTCTTGTGGTGAACTCTGCCTGGTACAGTTGGTTGGTAAGGGCGGTGTAGTGTGAGGTAGTTGTTTGAGGTATACCCCCTCTGAGGCACCAACGCTTGGTGGCTCCTCAAGCTCAGGTAAGGGATCTGCTCGGTCATTTCCAGGCTCTTCTATTTCACTGTTATCCTGTGTCCTCCCAGGGTTCCCCAAGGCAGGCTTGGGGGCTGACACACTAACTGATGCTGAGTGAGCTCCCTGTGGAAAAGGGCCAGGTAAATGTGGGGGAGCAGGCTGTCGGGGGGTGGTAAGGCACACCGGGCAGGCAAACACGTGAGGAAAGCTGCTGCATGGCGATCATCTCTGGGCTGTCCATCATGGAGTCCCCTCCTTGCACCCCTCTCAGAACCTGGGAGGGTGCTCCAAGCAGGGGACTGGGTGCTAGAGGTG